CTTCGCCCGTTTTTAATATGTTTATTAATATTAAGCTTCACACTTTTATTTCTGTCATTAAATTTTGTACCTACAAAAATATATATATATATATATACACACACACACACACACACACACACACGTATGACTCCATGACTTGTGTCAAAGACTGACTGTCAATCTACTTTTTAAAGAAAGAAAAATATTTTCATATTAAAACAATGGATACCATGAATTATTTGGTTTGTGTCACTCGTGAAGTATAGTGTGAGGTGTGAAATTATAAGCTTGGGTGGGATGGTCGTTAGGTACAGTCTTAGGTTTGTTTTAACTTAAGTGTTGTTTGCATTTGATGCAGGAATTGTTCATTGGAACGAGTGACACAAAGCAAATCTTTATATTTTGATCAGAGATATAATACACATTCAGATAGAACTGAAAATGACACCTGTGATAATCAGACATACACACACATATATATGTATGTATCTATGTATACACACGCACACCTATTTCTAAAGAATTAATGGTTTTATTTTTAATCTGACATTAGTTCAAATATTATTTTCAGAGGATACCAGTGTTTGAAATAGACACAGCATTTTGACTTTATTTTAAACAGTATCTATTAATAAGCAAGATAACATTATCTTAGCCTGATAGAGGTAATGCACATACTGTTTAAAATTAAAAAAAAAAACAGGACGTCTATTTCAAACATGGGTATCCACTAAAAAAAAAAAAAAAAAAAAAGGAATAAAAATATACACACACACAGACATAGCAGAGAGGTTCATCTATCATCCACTTCACACTCTTCCCCGGTCTTTTGAACAGGAGGAGAGGTTCATCCCTTGTTTCCCATTTAGGATTGGGTTTCCGGTTCCTTCTAATGTCTTCTCATTCTCTTTCAGTCTCAGTATGATTATTGCCTTGCTTGGGGTGAATTGATTTAAAAAAAAAAAAAAAATAGCAATGAAAAAAGTAAGCTGTAAAATTCTCAGAATGACCTAGTTTATAAATTCTGACCAAATGACAGCATGTGAAATAATTTTTTTTTTTTTTTTTTGGTGTCGCATACAGAGCTTCTTGGCTACATTGAGAAATTTTCCGCACCTCCTCATCTATGCTTATCTATTTAGAAGGTGGGGAATGACTTCCACAGGCCAGGTAAAAATCTAATAGGTAAATCTAATAATAGCGAGTGGCAGCCGAGCAAGTTGAAGTTGAATTAAAGTATTTCAAGTGTGAAATAAGATGAGGGATGAAGAAGAAAAAGAAGGGAGTATATTTTAAGGTTGCTGGCAGAATGAGGTGAAGGGGAGGAGGGAGAAAAGAATGGGGGAGGGGGCAGAAAAGAGTGGGTAGAAGGGGGGGGAACTGATGGAAATGAAAGTAGGCAGGTCTGTAGGTAGAAAGAAATACAGGATGAAAAAGAAGAAATAAAAGAAAGGATACAAGAAAGAAAAAAGGGATGAAAGATAGAAGGTGAATAAGGAAGGAAGTAAAGGAAACCAAGGAAAGAAGGAACGAACAAGAGAAGGAAGGAAACAGAGAGAGAGAGAGAAAGGGAAGGAAGGCACCAAAGACAGAGGGAAAGAAAGAGGGAAAAGTGGAAGAAATGAATGAATGAAAGAAAGAGGGATAGAAAAGAAAGACTGCACAAAAGAAAAGAAACAAAAGTAAACAAAAGAAAGGAAAGAATGATAGAAGGAACAAAAGGAATGATAGAAAAAATAAAGATAAGAAAGAAATGATAGAAAGAAAAAGGAAAGAAAGAAATGATAGAAAGAAAAAGGAAAGAAAGAAATGATAGAAAGAAAAAAGGAAAGAAAGAAATGATAGAAAGAAGAAATGATAGAAAGAAAAAAGGAAGGGAAGGAATGATAGAAAGAAAAAAGGAAGGGAAGGAATGATAGAAAGAAAAAAGGAAGGGAAGGAATGATAGAAAGAAAAAAGGAAGGGAAGGAATGATAGAAAGAAAAAAAAAAAAGGGAAGGAATAGATAAAAAAAAAAAAAGGAAGGGAAGGAATGATAGAAAGAAAAAAAGGAAAGAAAGGAATGATAGAAAGAAAAAAGGAAAGAGATGAATGATAGAAAGAAAAAGAGATGAATGATAGAAAGAAAAAAAAAGAAAGGAATGACAGAAGGAAGAAGGGGAGAAAAGAATGATAGAAGGAAGAAGGGGAGAAAGGAATGATAGAAGGAAGAAGGGGAGAAAGGAATGATAGAAGGAAGAAGGGGAGAAAGGAATGATAGAAGGAAGAAGGGGAGAAAGGAATGATAGAAGGAAAAAGGGAAGAAAGGAATGATAGAAGGAAAAAGGGAAGAAAGGAATGATAGAAGGAAAAAAAGGGAAGAAAAGGAATGATAGAAGGAAAAAGGGAAGAACAGAATGATAGAAGGAAAAAGGGAAGAACAGAATGATAGAAGAAATGAAGGATCGACAGAAGGAAGAAGGAACGAATGAATGAAAGAAAGTGGGAAGAAACGAACGAAAGAATGTAGAAACAAATGAATGAATGAAAGAAAGATGGAATGAATAGAAAAGGAAAGGAAGAAGAAAATAGAGAGTGGCAGAAAGAGAAAAGGAAAAAGGCAATGACAGGATGAAGGAAAGTAAAAAAGAGTGAAAGTCACTTTAAAAGAATTCTAAGTTAGGATAGAAGGGGATGAAGGCTTGGTATCTGAAGAAGTAAGTGATGGAGAGTTGAAAAGGAAGACGGAGAAAGAGAGGAAAAATGAAAATGAAGATTATTTCAGGTCAGGGGGGGGGTTGTTTCAGGCCAAAGAGGAGAGGAGGGAAACTAGACAACAATAACAAAGAGAAAAAATCAAAGAAAAGAAAGGAGATAAGTGAGGAGACAAAAGACAACCTTGAGAAGGACTATATTTGGGATGCAAAATGACAACGAATGTGAAAGCATGTAAGTCATGCAAGTGGAGATGAGGAATTGTCATCATTATACACTAATTTATTTAATCTAATTTTCTCATCTATTATCTCTCTCTTATATATATATATATATATATATATATATATATATATATATATATACATATATATATACATATATATATATATATATACATATATATATATATATATAGAGAGAGAGAGAGAGAGAGTAGTGATATTAAGAAAGAAAGGAAGGAAGGAGAGAAAAAAGGAAGGAAAGAGAGAACAAAAAAGGAAGGAAGAAGAAGAAGAGAGAAAGGAAAGGAAGGAGAGAAGAGAGAAAGAAAGGAAGGAGAGAAGAGAGAAAGAAAGGAAGGAGAGAAGAGAGAAAGAAAGAAAGAAAGGAAAGAGAGAAAGAAAGGAAAGAGAGAAGAGAGAAAGAAAGGAAGGATTGAAGAAAGAAAGAAATGAAGGAGAGAATAAAGAAAGAAAGGAAAGAGAGAAACAAAGGAAGGAAGAAAGAGAAAAACAAAGGAAGGAGGAAAGAGAGAAAGAAAGGCAGGAGGGAAGAAAGAAAGAAAGGAAGGAGAGAGACAAAGGAAGGAGGAAAGAAAGTACAAAGGAAGGAGGAAACAAAGTACAAAGGAAGGAGGAAAGAAAGCACAAAGGAAGGAGGAAAGAAAGCACAAAGGAAGGAGAGGAAAAGGAAGGAAGGAAGGAGAGGAAAAGGAAGGAAGGAAGAAAGAAAAGAGAGAAAGAAAGGAAAAAGGGAAGAGAGAAAGAAAGGAAAGAGGGAAATGAGTAAATAAAGAATGGTGCGAAGAAAAAAGAGAAAAAAGGAAGGAAGAAGCAACAGTGAAAGGAGCAAAGAAAGAAAGGAGAGAAAAAAAGAAAAGGATGAAGGAAGAAACAATGGTAAGGAAAGAAGGAAGGAAAAATGAGAGAACAAACAAGGAAGGAAGGAGAGAAGAAAACAGATAAAGAAGCATGAAGAAAGGAGAGAAGAAAGAAAGGAAGGAAGGAAAGAAGAAAAGAAAAAAGTAAAGAAGGAAGAAAGAAGGCAGGAAAGTAAGAAGCAATACCAAGTTAGAAGAAAGTTTAATTGGATTGTCTTAGCCAGAGGGTGGGAAAAAAAAATGATAAAAAGGAGAAAAAAAAAAAATTGATGAGCCTTGACACTCTTATTATACATCAATTCTCTCAGTGTTATCTTCATCAGAAACCACTCCAGCTCCACCACCCCCTGGGAGACCACACCCTACCCCTTATTCTCAGTTAGATTTCGAAGGGCACCTTTGAGTACTGTTACTCTGTGGCACCTCACTGTACTATACTGTATTAAGACCCAGAGGTGGGTGATAATTTGCGGAAGGGGAGAGCTGAAAAGTTGTTACCTGAGGCAAGGAAAAGTGGGGAGAGGAGGGGCATGGCTCCAGATTCCGAGAAGTTGGTTATAGATAACAAGTAAGAAAATTGATGTTTATGTTGATTCTGACTGGCAAGAGATGATGTTCAAGGGCGTAAATGCTGGGTTAGTTACCGAGCTAGATAGAGGTTTGCAACACCCACCCCACACCAACTAGTTCCTTCAACCTCCCCATTTATGACCCAGTGAAGCTCTCTCTCTCTCTCTCTCTCTCTCTCAGAAGATATCATATGCCTTTCTAGGTACAGCTCTAACTTTTCAAACTTTTCCATCTTATCTTCCTAAAGGACCCTCCCAGCACCAGAGGGCCTTTTTTTGTTACACGCCTATTGGTCATACTTCTGTATAGTTTAACTCCCCAAACAACATTTAATCTTTTGTCCCTGCAAATCTATCTCACTACCACCACCAGCTTATGGAGTGTGAATAAACTTACCCTCAGTCAACCTAGAATTAATTTACATTGGTCAAGCTACTAAACATGGGGTAATGGTTAATAGCCCCCCCCTCCCCAATGTACACCTGATCTGGACAGTGAGGGTGATCTCCTGCTGTGACAAATGAAGGCCTTCGACTAAACTACGCACTTTACGCACTTACCTTCTAAGGCGCATTACGGGAGTCCCGCTACGGCAAACGAAGGCCTTCGACGAACTTACGGCATTTAACGATTCGACGAGACTTACGCACATGTCTCACGGATACCCCCACCTGGCAAGCACCCGTCGGTGGGGGGAACACCCTCGGGGTGGATCCGGGGGGGGACACCCTCCGGTGGGTTGTAAACACTTGGGGTTTTGTAAACACCCTCCCATGTGTCCCTGCCATGGCCCTGGCAGCACCCGAATTGGGTTTGCGTGGAAAGCAAACGTTTCGGCACTCTAACCAAATCCCTGCTCAGTCTGTACTATTTAAAAGTCTGTATCCATGCAGCTGAGGACCCGCTTGTGAATCCAAATTCCTGGTAAAAACTCCTACTATGAATTTTCATGTCCAAGTGAATACAACCGCAGTTAAAAGAGGACAACAAACTGTTCTTCAAGCTCGGGGCTTGCTGTTTGAACAAATTGTGATTGAAGGGAGGGGATTTGTCTAACACCCTCCCATGTGTCGCTGTCATGGTTAGCCCCAACTAACACACTTGCATCCAACCACTGAACTTGATCAGCTTTCATTTGGAATGCAGCAAATATTGATTATACAAAAAAAATGCCGCAAAACATTTTCATTTTAAGTAACATTTTTACAACTGAATCAATCATTTCATATAAACACACACACTTTATATATATATATATATATATATATATACCGGGGCAACAGCAAAACTGTACAAATCGTGTAACAGCATAACTGTCCAACCGTCAGATTAATCTAACAGTTGGATAGTTTAACCGCTGTATCTTAGAAATGATTAAAGATATCTTACTGGAATTCTACAGGGTTTTTATAACACTATTGGACTCTACTTTGAACAATAAGAATGTATTTAGCTTTAAATTGAAATGATGATCCCTCTTCCTGTTGTGACCTTCTGATCCAGTTTTCTGCTATACTGTTCCTGCTATTTTAAACTTATTCCCCGTTCTCTTGATGATTCTTGAATAGACATTAAAGATGGAAGCCAGAGTATGAATGTTGGTACCATTACTAAAGGACTGAATGATCTTTTTTCTCTCACCATTGCTCATTTGTGAAGACATTATGGGGCTAACACAAAACGATTTTAACCTGTTCTCTTTCAAGCTAAATAACTCAAAGGGTTTTTCAGCAATTTTTGCAAATGGTGTTGTCTTATCTGAAAACCTCGAAAAAGGAAACTATTATTTTAGTGGTTTTTATGGCCTAATGGTGAGAGTCTCCTGGTTTGAAGCAATCGCATGTCTAGACAGACTGATGAGCTGTGATACAGTGAAACAGTCTGTCCGTGGATGACTACATATGCTCCCGGAAATCTGGTTGAGCTCTCTAGGGAAGATGGGGGGTTTTAAAAAAACAAAACCCTCCTACTGCTATTAAGCATTACTCTTCAAGTAAAATTGAAATGAGTTCTACAAGCCGCTGGTGTATTTTGTATAGAGAAAAACATTAAAATTCCTTTCCTTCCCTGACATGAGATGATGGCCTAGAGGTAAGATATCTGACTAATGTCAAATCAGTTGGGTTTCAATCCTGGCTTGAAGCAACTGAGGAGCTGTGATACAGCAAAACAGTCTGCCTGTAGATGACTATATATATATATATATATATATATATATATAAATAAAAATGGTGGACTCTCCCATCGGATTTGACATATGAGGGTCAAGCAGCTCAGTTCCTAGAAACCAACAGCTCAGACACCAGCACATATGATTTGATTATAATGGTGAAGGCTTTGTGCGGAACCGACAACACTTTTTGAAGGGCTGATTACAGAGATCTGGTGCACTATGTGCCACAAGTTGCCCAAACGACCCTCCGCAGGTTTTAAATTCACAGTTCTTGTCCTTATACAGCTTATAATTTCTAAAACAAGGATCATAATATTCATCGAGTGATTTGTAGGTTAATGCACCTTTAAAATTTTGTTAGTGAAGGGATTTTATTTATTTTACATCATTAACTTTTCTAATCTACTTTTCGTATGAATGATTCATTGTAATTATATATATATATATATATATATGTAAAAATATATAGAAAATAGAAAAGAACTCAAAAAACAACTTAGCTAATGCACTAGTCATGCATAGAAATAAATTCAACCATAATTTTGATTTTAAAAATGCTACACTCATAAAAAAAGAAAATAACTCACTCAGAAGGAAAATTCTGGAGAGTGCCGCCATAGAAAATTACCCAAATATTAATCTACGCCCAGGTTTTTTTTCCCATATCACCTTTCTTAACAAAATTACCGCTCTTACAAACAAATATACACAACAGATTCATAAAATCAAAAGAAAATGGTTGAATACATCAACACAGATATAATGACAATATTCTCCACACGTGACAATCTCTGACGTTATTTTTCAGTTAAAAATATGAAAATAGCGTTTCTCTACATTCCAGTTGCTAAGTACATTCTGTTTTTGTTTTTATTAGTTACTTTGTTCATTTAATTTCATTTTCGTATTTTGCTTTGATAAAGTCCACATTGGACAAAACGAGTCAGCAATTACCAGTTTTCCTATTGTCATTTTTTATTCATAAATATTGTCTTCTCTACTGGTTAAATCAGAGAAATTTTCATATATATATATATATATATATATATATATATATATATATATATATATATAGATAGATAGATAGATAGATGTGTATATATATATATTGACGGAAAGACTGGAATGGATAAATTCTGTATTAATTTTTCAACGTTTTTTTTTTTTGTAGCTGTCCGAGTTAAATTTCTAATTCCTATATGAACTCAGTCTATACCATTGTTGAATAAGACTGACAAATTTTTCATTGGTTGAAATAAGCCTATTCACCATATGAGGTAATTTTTGATTTTGATTTTATTGTGTACTATTTATTTGCTCTGTAATAATAAATACATTGAGCTCTTTCTGAGGATTAGTTTTAATATTTTATATTACTAGGACCAACTTGGGTTATATACCAACAGATTTATTACCTTTACTCTCACTCTCTCTCATATATATATATATATATATTATAAACTAGCAGCATGGCCCAGCATTGCCCCTGCTTGATTAAAAAATCGTACGACTCATACAGCAATCACTATCACTTGACTTAAAATATTTTTGCCCTTCCTTGCCTTTGAAGGAGTGCACTTTGCCGTGCTGATGTTGCTACATGCCTTACTTCTTGCCTATCTTACACTGCGAATTTTTTCGTTTTTTTTTGCATGCTAGTTAACATTCATGTCAGTCAGCTGTTGGCTCTCACGCTAGCCAATAGAATCTTCCTGTTTATTCATGGCAGCCAGCTATTGGCTCTCACTCTGGCCAGTACAAAATGGCCGCAAACTACATGAAAACTGCCGTAGAAGCATGAAAAAATCGATTATTTCCACTATCAATGGGAGTTGGGAAATGCAAAGTCGGTCTTGGCCTTCCCGCTAACTTGGAGCATGTGCATGTAAATTTCGGTGCAAATCTGTCGAAAATTGTGGCTGTGCATTCGTTACACACACACACATCCTGCCTTTTATAGATAGAAATACGAAATTTAAAGGGAGACAACTCTCTAATCTTTAAACATCTCATCTTCAATATAAATAAATGTGAATGTCACTGTGTCACACTTTTTCAACTTTACTCCTAGAGGTCGTAGCCCAACATATCATACCATTTTGGAATCAGGCCGATTCTGAGAAAATTAAAACATTCAGGGCCAGCAATCCTGAAATGTTGGATTCCAAAGTTTTCACTACTGCGATTGTTTTTGGTGATTTTTTTTAACATGATTTTTTACGACAAATTTTTGTGTACTATAACAATTTTATAATTAAGAGAATAATCAAAATAAACTGCAAAATCTACCAAAAGTCACCCATGAAATAAAAATAATGGTTTGTATGGAAAGTGAGGACCTACATCAAAGAACTCAAAATTGATCACTGCATTTAAGTACCTTTTACAAATTCAACGATAATTTTTCTGACACCACATAATTTAAAGAGAGTTTGATGTACATAGGTCCTTACTTTCTGTACGAACAATTATTTTTATTTCATGGGTGACTTTCACTAGATTTCCTAATTAATTGCATTATTCCTAAATTTAATTCCAAGTTATAAAAATTGTTATCAAAAAATTTGTCGCAAAAATTAGGGGAAAAAAAAGAAATCCAACAGAGAACAGTAATATTTTTTCACCCATCTTGGTACTGACCAGACTCAACATTGCTCAAGTTCAGTGATCTTACAGGAACTGATATTTCAATGTTACGTGGGCTCAGATGCTACTATTACAAAATCAGAACTTGAAAATGCTGTGTAGGTAATTCTGAACGAGAAAGTAGAATACCTCTCCTGACAATGAAATGTACCTTTGCCAGAACATTTTAGGAAACTGAACCATTTTTATTGCGGCGGGGTGTGGCAGAGTAAGGAGATAAAGAATGGGTGGGGGGTTGACTTTCTCGGGGAGAGGGGGGGAGACAGAAATATGTACAGCTATATTAATCCAAGGCCCAATGTTTTGATAACCTGAGACAGTGTTGCTTTCAGTTTAAACAATTCTATTTCAGTCTCTCCTCATTAGTAATAGGAATCTTGTATTAATTGGATACAAAACAAAAATAGTTATAAAAATACGACACTCCAACTTGATCGTTGTTATTCAAGCACCTAAAATAGTAAATCAATGTTGGACGAAATGCTAGAGATGGTAAACTTTCATCCCGAATTTATCAGAGGTCTATTGGTACTCAAGTTCTGCCCAGACCACAAGTAGACTTTTCACATGTATGATCCATGGCTGAGGCATGCTGGGAAGCAAAAAAAAAAAAAACAATTGGTTACGCCATGGTCTATCTGTACAAGAGTCAAGACCAGATCAAGAAGTAGATCATTGCTGCCACATTTTGGTTGGAGCTGCACAATCCTCACTTCCCAGCCAGTTCAAAGGTATTTGTGCAGGCGGGGATGAGATTTTTCACTCACATCTCCTTTTTACACAATTCCACTAATCCTAACCTTCGTGGCTAGGACCCACCACGCTACCTACAG